CCTGTGCACCAGTCACTGGGTTGATCGTGGCGCCAGGACGAGCTGTTACTTCGGGAGTCAGTGCTGTTATCGTTTCAGGCAGGAGGGGTGGATGCACTCCTCCGCTCGATTCTCCCTTCCGTTGGCAAGAAGGCATGGTCGCCGGAAGCGACACTGCGTCGGTGGGCGGGGTCGCCGGCCGAACTCTCACGTGTTCCTCCGAAGATCAACCCTTCTCTTCCGGTTCTTCCACGCAGTCTCCCTCTTGCTCGGCGCCATCTTGGAGTGGCGTCTCAAGATTTTCTTTTGCAGCCGCCTCTTTGACCGCTTGAATGGCCATACGCAGCTGCGCTCTTAAATTTGGATTTTGCTGCATTAGATCAGTTACATTACGGAAAGTTGCAACCAACATTTTCCCCTTGTCATACCTCGGGGCTACCCTCTCATCTGCGGCGCGTTCCTCCATCTCCAGATCTTCGCGGAGCTCGGATAGACGCTCGCAACCCCTCAATTTAGACGCCACCATAAAGGGGGCAAACCGGTTGAACGGCACCGGTTCTTCACTCTCCTGAGCACATCGTGAGCAACGGGCACACTCCTGGGTGAGGGTCGGGTTTACTGCGCCTGCCGGGTTGACTCTGGCGAGGGACACAGTCTCCAGGGGGCTAAACAGGACCCGCTCATCATTCATTATACACCTGAATGCCGCGGGGTGAAGATACACTTCCCTCTCTCTTGGGGCTCCGTCTTCGGAAGCTCCCTCTTCTCCCTTCAGCGAAAGATGTCCGCTGATAAACCTTTCACCCGTTCTGCCCGCCTGGTGGTAAGCGATATGCACCTCCAGTTCCATGATGTTTTCTACTTGGCGTTTTCCACTGCGCCAAGGGCAGTTCTTAACTAATTCTAGTTCCATCGTGCCTTCCCCGGATCCCATCCTTGTCGCCATGTGCGGGCCGGGAGCGCCGAGGCTTTCGGGGGCGCGTGGCGGGCTGTGGCCGGGAGCCCGCAACAGTAGGGTGGGTACTTTTGCACGACGGACTAGAATTAGGCACGGACTCGTAGCGGTTAATTAAAGATTGTTTTACTTACACCGTAGGTGGTCGCGGTGCAGGCAGGAAAAACTTTCTTGAGTTGCAGTTACAGACAAACACAAGTGGAGTTTGCTAGGCTCCACCGAAGACACACGCACGGAGTTTGCTAGGCTCCGCAAAACAAACACGACAGAGCTCCGGATACCCTTGACGAGCACACAAAACTGTAGATACGTCTTAAGAATTTAACGAACGAGACGGGAAGAGGCTGGGGGTTGATCAGGCCGCCGAACTCCTCTGAGACACACACAAAGTTTCTATTACTCTGCCGCGTGCTCAGAGTCCCCACAAGATGGTTGTGGAGTCCTCTATCACTTGGGCGGAAACTGCTCAAACCTCTTATAAGACTAGCAAGCCAATCGCTAGCCGCCACGTGGGAATAATTTAGAAACAGCCAATAGTGGGGAAACAAATTTACATACGGGTGGCAGGAACTCCTTTGCACCAGGGTTTTCTCTCTGCAGCTGAGAATTGCACCACGCAAAGAAAGCTCCATGTGGCGGGAAATAATTCTGCAGTGCCGAAGCACACACACAATCATTGGGTCGTGACAACTTTCTGAACAAAATTTTTTAAAATCCCATATAAAAAGTTTGTATAATATGGTTTGTGCTATTTGGACTTTTCTTCTCATTTTAAAATGAAATGTTCTCTCACAACTATAACAATGATCCCACTCCTGCAGATTTATAAACTGAAAAATCCAAGCATTCGCAGGCAACGGACCTAACAAAATGATCTTGCTGCCCTAGATATACAACAGATCTTTCTTACTTCCTTTAAATTTTGGGATTAGAGGTAGATCTGGGGATTATCTGGCCTAGACAGGGGACTGTGTTTACTTCTCTTCAGATATTCTCCTTAGATTTATCAAAGATGCACTAATCACAGCTTTTCAGAGTGTGTAAATTGCATTTAACAAAATAAGATTAGAAGAATTCACATTCAAACAAAGAGAGTCAACTAAAAGCAAACACCTTAGATTGCAAAAGCTCAACTCATCCCTCTACACAGCATATACACAGGCCATACAATATTCTCGAAAGTCAAAGACATCCTGGCTTTTTAAGTAAGCCTGCAGGAAGTGAATTTCCCAAGCAGAGTCCTCCATCCCCGATAAGAAACACATCTGCTGTCCTTCAGCAGTTCAAATCCAGGACTCAATGGTAAGAGTTTCCAAAAAACTTCTCTTAACTGTTATCATGGAGAGAGATGACCTTGAAGTTAGCAAAAAACCTCAGAGTTTTATGAATAAAAATGAACATGATGAATTTCATCCACAAACCAATAGCCCATAAAGCATAGTTATATCATGTTCCTTATACAAAATATTGATCAGGAAGGAATCAGCTGTGTTCTGAACTTGTTGAAATTTCATTTGCCTTCACATTTATTCCTCACATAAAATTTGCAAAATTCAAATGTAAAAGTTATAGAGAGAGACAATGGTAACAAGAAACATCAAAGGACTGCAGCTTGCTGTCCGACCTGGATGAAATAAAAACCACGGCTCCAATCCAGAAGAACATTTAGGCACCTGTTTGACTTCAATAGCACTACTTGAGTAGACCCATTAATTTCTCAAGCAAGTGCTCAGAATGAAGCGCAAACTTTCAGAACCACTTCTACCAATTACTGC